TCTGTGGGACCATAGTTCGCAATATGGCAACCACCATTCACACTCCTCGTGATCCGAACACCCTTTCCAATTACAACAATTGGCGGACACTCCACACCTCCACAAGCTTGGACATCTTGTTCGACAAGCAGAAATTGAAGGGCAGCGTCGTCCACAGCTTTGAGTCCATCACGGATGGCGACAGTGATGAGATCTTGCTCGACACCAGCCATGTGCAAATCCACAGCATCAATGCAGATGGCAAACCAGCCGAGTGGGAATTGCTCAAGCGGGTCGAGCCATACGGCAGTCCCTTGAAGATTAAGCTCGGTCGAAAGCCACAATTGAACGAGAAGATTGACATCGAAATCAACTTAGAAACGACGTCCGCCTGCACCGCATTGCAATGGCTGACTCCGGCCCAAACTTCCAACAAAAAACATCCGTACATGTTTTCACAATGTCAAGCCATACACGCTCGGTCCATCTTCCCTTGTCAGGATACCCCGGATGTCAAAGCAACATTCGATTTCCTGATCAAGTCGCCCCTGCCGGTCATCGCATCCGGCATTGGGGCCAAAGACAATCCGGTGTCCCCGTCCCGCAATGGGTCCTCTCAGCTATACAAATTCCACCAGAAGGTGCCCATTCCCTCGTATTTGTTTGCTCTTGCTAGCGGTGACATTGCTACCGCCAACGTAGGCCCTCGGAGTCTTGTTGCTACCGGCCCTGATGAGCTCAAAGAGTGTAAATGGGAATTGGAAGAGGATACAGAGAAGTTCTTGAAGGCGGGCGAGTCACTCGTCTACCCTTATGCGTGGGGTGAGTACAATGTCCTTATTCTCCCGCCGTCATTCCCCTATGGGGGCATGGAAAACCCCGTCTATACATTCGCTACGCCTACTATTATATCCGGGGACCGTCAGAATGTCGACGTGATTGCTCACGAATTGTCGCACTCCTGGTCTGGGAACCTTGTCTCCAATGCGTCATGGGAACACTTCTGGCTGAATGAAGGCTGGACGACTTACCTCGAACGGCGCATCCAAGCGATCGTGCATGGTGGCGACCAGTGGCGCGATTTCTCAGCGGTTATAGGGTGGAAGGCGCTTGAGCAATCCATCAGTGAACAGTTTGGAGAGCAACATGAATTTACGAAGCTTGTCATCGACTTGAAGGGCAAGGACCCTGACGATGCATTTTCGAGCATTCCGTACGAAAAGGGTTTCATTTTCTTGTACTACATTGAGAAACTGATCTCCAAGGAGGAATTTGACAAATTCATCCCTCATTATTTTGAGACGTGGCGGGGCAAATCACTCGACAGCTATGACTTCAAGCAGACATTGCTCGACTTCTTCAAGTCCAACGAGACGGTCTCGCAAAAGCTAGCTACCATTGATTGGGATACCTGGTTCTACAAGCCCGGTTATCCGCCCAAGCCTGACTTTGACACGTCGCTTGTCGATCAATGCTACCGGCTTGCTGATCAGTGGGAGAAATTCACCAAGAACCCCAACCCTGATTTCGGACCCAGCAAATTCGACATTGATGGCTGGTCGGCGAACCAGATTGTCGTCTTCCTCGAGAAACTGCTTACGTTTGCGGACAAGTTGCCTCAGCCGCACGTCAACTACATGGGTTTCATCTACGACCTGAAGGAGACGCGAAACGTCGAGATCTCGGCTCGATACTATCAAGTCGCGATGAAGGCTGGGGACTGGACGATTAAGGGATTTGTCACGAAGCTCCTAGGGGAAGTGGGCAGGATGAAGTTTGTCCGGCCGCTGTACAAGGGGTTGATGAAGATGGACTATCAGCTGGCGGTTGAGACCTTTGAGAAGAACAAGGACTTTTACCACCCGATCTGCCGAGGCCTTGTGGCCAAGGATTTATTTGGGAGTAAACAGGAGCAAAAGTAGGGTATGCATATGGTGAGCAGTTCTGCGCGATACAAGCACGCCACGCACGACGCCGGGCAATAAATAGCATGGGCATGGGCATGGGTATGGGAATAGGAGACTTTTGGCCAGCTCTGCCGGATGGACGTTTCTTGTCTACGTATATTCATTCACGTACTATATCACTACCATCTCGAGAAGGAGTCGGGACAAGAAACACGAGCAAGTAGTTGAGATTACAGGTCCTGCATGTTGTCATTAGAACCGCCCGCTCCCTGCCCCGAATATATATACGTTTATGTACCTCGTACAAGTACTGTGTATATTTGTGTGATATTCATGTGTATATTCATGTGTATTATGTAAGTGTTTACATAATGTCTATCTGTACACCTGTACCTCGTATAATGTATGTAACGTATATGTGCTGCGTACCTAGAAAACTTTTGATCTCTTCTAGAGGAAGAGGATCGCTCACTAAGCCACGCTCATGCTCATGCTCATGCCCATCCATGCTGATGCTGATGCTGATGCTGATGCCATCCATGGAAAAAAGACGCCGCGCTATGCTGTGATATGCTGTGCTATGCTCCGAACGTGACCATGTAAAGAAATATGCCGGGAGTATCAAAGGGACTGCATGCTCTCCCCATCATCCCCTGCTCAAGCAAAACACCTGGGCATGCAATGCAATTCCGGTCTGGAGAAAAAGAAGAAGGCGATTATGACGACGACGATGACGAATGATGCTCCTTCATCCGCACCATCAGGATCCGGAGAACCTCGTCTTCCCAATCGCTCAGGTCGAGCCACTCTGGCACGATCATGCGGTCTTTGGAGATGAAGATGCTCTCGCCCTCGACGACCTCCTCGCCGAGTTCTCTCTCCTCCCTGGATTTCTGCCGCACCGTCATGGATTGGTGTGTCTCGGTGCCGACGAGTCGGGGAACCCTGTCGGTCGACGAATAGGTCACCGCGCGACTGAGAGTCCGCATGATCTCGGGCGATGACCCGTGGCCGTAGCTGTCAGCGCCGCCTGCCTCGGTAGTGGTGTCTGAGAGGTCCTCGATGTCCGCCCCGCCAGGCGACGATCGGCGTTTGGTGCCCGTCTCGACATCCCCTCCGAGCCCATCAGTCCCCAACTTCCTCGCCAGCCTCGCTTGCCTCCTCTGTTCCCTGAGGTGTTTCAGATCGACCGGCGTCCACCAGTACACCGGGTAGCGTCTCCCGGAGAGATTGTTCACCACAAGCGCGCTGGCCAGCATCAACATAGCCGCCAGCAGCACGAGGGGCAATAACCACCATCCCAGGTCTTGGATCTCCTGGTTTGTCGCCGCCAGTAGCGCAGTGGCGCCCGCGGGTGGGTGAATGGTTTTTGTGAAGCTCATTAAGATGGATGCGCATCCGACCGCGAGCGCGCCGGCAGCCCACCTCTGCTCTTCGAATCGGTCTGGCGGCAGCAACAAAAATAGCTTGGTGATGCCCACTCCAATGACGGCTGCTAAGAAGTGTCCGAAAATCAGGTTTCTCGGCTGGGCCAGCGGTGATTCAATGGTATTGTACTCCAAGATGGCTGCAGCGCCGAATGACGCGATGACGATGGGTACCGTGTGTCCCGACAACTGGGGAAGGGCGAGGAAGACATTTTCGATGATGGCGACGCCACAGAAGGCACCGACTAGGATCGACAGGTAGAGAAAGAAGGTGTGGAGGTGATAGGTATAGAACCATTCCGACGGATGGAAGTATTCAAGGTACGACTTGGGGAGGAAACAGAGACACGGGTGATGTGCGATGGTGGACGAAGGGGTGCGGTAGCCGAACCAGTACGAGATCCAGGGAGGCAGGAATCGCAAAGGATTGCGAGGAATCCAGGGATTGAGGTAGTTGTCTATGTCGAATGGTGACCTGGGCTTCGAAGCGGGCTTGGGGGTGGGATTTGATGGATGGGGCTTGGGCTTGATTGAGCCATTGGCATTCGTTTGAGGCATGGTTCACAGTAACGCTGATGTTTCGACACAGAGACGACAGTCCTCCTGATTTTCTCTTGAAGAGGCGTCTTGCTTGACCTTTGCCAATGCCCGAGACCAAGGGCCAGCAAAGGCTTTACATATACCTCTACATGCCAATGTGAAACCAACCTCCGCGGCCAGAGTTCCGGCGAGTCGGGTAAACGATGGAACTGGGTTTGAGAAAGCAGCGGGAGACAAGTCAAACGGATCAGATCAGATCCAAGGGCACCCATCAACCCATCAACCTACCGAATTGTAATGAGCCGCGGAGTTCCTGAATATCGACCCAAGGAAAAAACAGCAAGAGGAGCACGGGAGACACACACGCGAGACACGCTTCGCCGCCTCAAACGGGTCTCGAGGCACGAGCGAGCCCCCTTTTCTGCATGCAGCGTCACGGAGTGTGCATTTTTCTGGCTGACAGAAACGCTGTCTGTCTAGTGTTACATGAGAGAAATATGATGACTGGTAGATCCGAGTTAATTGTAGTCATGAAAATTCCAGGAAGGGCTTGTCAAGTGGCCAATGGTGGATAGAGAATCTAGGCTGAAGAGGGTAAAGAGATCTCTGGGGTATCTGGGACAGTAAAGCAGCAACATAGCTATAGGGAAGGTCGTTTCCATAGTGGATGTGAAAGGGTCATGGACGACGTTGTCAAGCTTTGCTGGTGTGGGAGATGAAAATGAAGCATGAAAAAGTTTCTGACAATGTCCGGCTGTGAATACTACCGAGATTTAGAGCGGCGGAAAGCCCAAGTAAGAACTAGAGCAGCGACACGGCCAGTAACAAAGCAGTAGCTCACCAATCAATTGCTCTTTGTTCAGCCGGAAAGCATGGCCGCCATATTTTGCAGTGATTTTGCACAGTGACGTCGCTGAGCCACTAACTGCATCCGACCGCAAATGACGTCGAAAACAGCGCATTGGCCCAACAGATGGAAAAAGCAGCAACTTCCGGCACCAACCAACGGCAAGTTACCATGATGTGATGCCATACCCCATGTTGCGTGACAGCACGTGACTTTGATACTCTATACCACGTGACTGCGTGCCTGCGCCCTCACATTTCAGTCTCAATTATGCCTTTCGTCTTCAGTGTCCCACGACCACTACACCTTCACCCTCGCCAACTCACTTCGCACAGGGATATTATGCTCAGGGTGTGGCTCTGGAAATCCTTCGACACGAACCCCCTTCCTGAACATCAAACAATGTGTCGATCCTCCGAAATGGAACATGCCAATCTCGTCGCCCTTCTTCACATGCTGACCCTCCTTGACCGTGATTTCGCAAGTCGATACTTCGCACATACCGATGCCTAGAAACGCCATGAGCCCAAGAGCTGGGTTGTCTGCTTCAAAGAACATGATCGCCCGTGTGGCCGTGGCTGTCAAATATCCTTGACTGGTGACTTGCCCCTCAGGATCCGCAGGGTGGTCGGGTTTGAAGTCTTCGAACAAAGGCTCTGAATAGTAAGTCCCGTCCACCACGTATGCTTTGACCAGTTTGCCAGAGACAGGTGCATGCCAGCGATGATAGCTCAATGCGCTAAGAAAAGCTTGGTATACGGTCCCTCCAACGAACTTGTCCGCCCAGGGATCCTGTGCCAACATGTCGATCACCGAATACGGCTGTCCCTTGAGCCAGAAATGGTCTCGCGCCTTGACGTCGCGCGCCACCTTGAATGTCTTGGATTCGCACGCGTTTGCAATCACATTGTCGTCCTCGGGACTGGCCACCGGCCGTGCCTCCTCCTTGAAGAGCCGCGTGAAGAAATCATCCCAGGATTTGTAACCCATGTGAGGCTTTGATGGATCGCACTGGAACAATTCCTCAAATTTGTAACCTGTCTTGCCCAAATTGGCTGTCGTGGTGAGCTCCTTCTGGCCATGCGGACCAAACCAGCTCCCTTGAGCGTCTTTCTCCAGGACCTTTGCCGATTCTGGAGAGCGAAGAAAGTCTCCCCATGCATTGAGGACTTTCTTCAACATTTTATTTACGTCTGGGTCAAGAAACACGGCGTACCCCGAAGCTGTTCCCATGGGCCAATCGAAGAGGGCGTTGAACGGAAGGCCAACCAGTCCAGTGCGCGCCGAGCTCTCGGACCATGATGGCGGCGTGGTCAACATGTGATTGATGACACGAAGCATATGGATATAGTCGCGGACCTGGGGATGTCCCTCACCGCGAGGGTCGTTGTTGTAGGGCTCCTTCTTAGGGACCTGCTCAAACATGGACTCAAAGAGCATGTACACTCGAGTGTTGTTTTCGATCAACTCCTTGAATTCGACCAAGACCGGGTGAAGATCTTTGGGGTTCTGATCCACCTTTTGGATGACGCCGCTGAGCCATTCTCGGTGAACGTCGTGATCGGGGAGCCAGTCACCCACTGTCTTCCGTCTGCGTGTTTAAGATGTCAGTGACTGCCAGACACGGTTCACGCCAGTTGAGTTGCTCGTCGTGATGGGGGTGTAGGGGGTTTTCTTACCTGTGTTGACGATCGTTCTTCATGCCGAACGGTGGGGGGTGGTGAGGTGCTCTATAGCTCAACTGGCGGAGAAATATTACTAGGTAACGATGAGTGTGTCTCTCACAGAGTAGATATAACGGCAGGTGCTGTACCAATACTTGGTGGTTGTGCTGGTGGCATGTCACGACTTGCGTAATCGTCCCCAACATTCAATACGTCACTGTCCCTGACTGGGTGCCAGTGAGTCAATATCCATCTCCACCCATAATACCTGCTCATCATTGTATACCTACCGACTCGCCGAGTACACGTATACATGTCACGGAAAGAAGACGAGAAATAATAGAACGAGCGAGACTTGACAGCAGTCGTATGCCTACCTCCCTAGGTAGTCGTACAGGGTACGAGGATCTAGGGAGGTAGTACCATTCCTTCGGTTTGGAGAAGTAACTCATTACGAGGTACATGCCTCGATACCTGGGTAGCTGCTTAGGTAGGCGGATAGGTCAATATATTTTCTATGCCCCTCCTACTGAAGGACCCTTGTTGATATAACCTTGTGCCATCCCATCACCAGATCCCATATCCAAAGGAAGGTTGGTAGACAGAGAGAATGTGTGTTCGTGCGCCGTGCTTTTTCCGTACAGTTCCTGCTGCACAATTCCCTTTCCCCTTTTTTTTGGTTCAATAAACACAACCCCAGCCCAGCCACTCCCTCAAAAACTCCACAACCCCTGATGATGTCCTTTGATGCCTTCGCCAGTTATGTCAAGTGTATCTTATCTTACATCCCCGTAAAAAAAAAACCACCATAGCACCTTTTTTTTTTTTTGAACAGGGAGATAAAACAGTCATGTCAGCTTTTGGTCCAATAGCCAAGAATCCCTGGTGCTCATGTCACTTCACCATCATCAAAACAATCTATCAGCTCCAATTCTGCCAAACACACTCACATCCCCCAGTCCCTCCGTCAATACCGCCTGCTTCCTGGTCGAATCCAGTGTCGTCGCTGATGGTGCCATTCACAAGACCTGGCGCCGCGTTGATCAAGGTCCCTGAAACACTTCTGAACTCTGGCACGATCGTCTTTATATCGGACTGGATAACCTGTAGTTGATCTACGCCGTAACAATACACTGCTTTCTTGTTGATGTTGCCCCCATGTCGGTCAATACTGATCGTCGTCGGGTACGGAAATGAGCCTGGTCGGCTGAAATCGGTTGCTGAATTGCTGCTCCCTCCGTCGGTCGAGTTGGTCCCATTCGAGGCGGCAGGGAGAAGCGTTGCGCCAAAGGCTGGGTTGGTCCACATGCGGACCAGGAACCTCGTTTGACTAAAGGTGCACCGCAGTCGGGACTGATCGCGAGTGGAACCCCCGTTTTCGTCCTCGGGGTCAATTCCATTGTTGTCTGTAAATTCCGAGGTGTTCAAGGCTGCCGTCGAATGCAAGAAAATTGCCTTGTCGTAGTAGATGTAGAAGCCGTAGTGCTCGTCCGCTTGACCTCTGTTGTATAGTTTGATCGGCTGAGATGAAGGGTACGGATCGTTAGGGAGGAGGTTGGCAGGCGCAGCACTCCCATCGCTCAGGACGTCGGGCGCCGGAATGGCATCTGAGGAATTCGTCGACTGACGCCTTCGAAGCTTGGAGCCTGTCGGGCTAGATGCCGTGGCGGTTGTATTTGAAGGGTCGATAGGAAATACTGGAACGAATGTAATATAGAAAGGCGTCTGCTCCCCCTCGAACGGCTTCGTGATGTTGTCGGTCGTGTTGCCCATGAAGATCTGGTCCGCCCGGCTTGGTGGCGTCGGGTTAGGATCAAACAGATCGTTTGTAAACGGATCGTCCGCCCTCTTCCGCAGGCGCCGCTCTGACCTCTTCCTGAGCTCTTGTATGGGCACCGTCATATTCGCTGGTACAGTGCCGTTTCGAAAGTTGATCTCGAATCGAAAGTTCGGCTGGTCCGGAGAGTTGGGAGCAACCTCGAACTGCTCCTCCTTGGGCAGAGCACAGCTCCACATTGTGTTGGGTCCCACACATTGGGACTGCTGCTTGACGACATCGGGTCTGGCTATGGTGGATATGCCCGTGGGGATGGGAGGATAGCCGGTAAGATTAAGCCACTGGCTCTGTACAGGAGTGCTGTCGCCTGTTCTTGTGAGGAAGGTGGCCAGGAGAACACACGCCAGGACGATGATAAATAGGATTATGCCAATGATAAGTGTCCATCGGCGTTTCTTTTTCTTGTCCGCGTCGTCCTTGTTGCCCGCCTTTTTTCGACGAAGAAGCCCTTTGAGTCTGGTCATCACACCTGCCTTTTTGACGGTTTCTGATTCGTGCGAAACTGGCATTTGTTGCCTTGTGACTTCCTGTTTTTGGCTGACTTCTTGGGTCGAGGTGGTAGATTCAAGCCGCTCCATGGCATCTCTTCTCGTTTCCCGAACAGTGTTGTCATCTCCACTTGCGAATCTTTCGCTATAAAATGTGTGGTTATGAATCGTGACTGACGGTGGCTGCGTTGGCGCCGGCGCTTGTGGTCGGTCTGATGGTGTGGTTTGCTCCAACGAACGTGGTTGGCTGGGTTGGTAGTCGACTTGTGTCATCGGGACGGCACCTTGAGATGTCATTGTATGCTGCATCGCTGGAGAGACAGGGCCTGGTGACAAAATTGGCGGTTGAGCCGCAACGGCAGCGATACTGGGATAATGTGCTTCACGACGAGTCTGTTCCGTGCTTGTGACCGACTGCCTTGGTGCCTGTGAGGTGTCAACCGCGGGGAGCAATGGTGAGGCAGCCTCCTTCTGTTGTGATTCCACCTGTTTGACGTCCGGGCTCTCCACAGACTTTGCCTTAACAACCGCGGCGGTTTCTGCTTGTCTGACATTTGGTGACAGTTCTTCAGGCTCTGAGCGGATGGAAACACCACGACTCAGCACTCTCTCTTCATTGGCTGGAGCATCTGCAGTCTCTTCAAGGTCAGCATCAACCCGCCTCGAATTAGAGACGTCCTGAGCGGGCTCAGCAACGACTCCTTTGTCAAAAATTGAATGAAGCTTTGGTAATCTGCTGGCACAGGAGTGGTTGTCGCATTCAAAGTATGGAACACCCGTCAATTGTTCGACAGCACAAGCATGGTAATATTCTGCTGCAAGGCCTTTGGTGAAATCGACGACAGCCCACGCTGTGCCTGGGTTAACATCTTGTACTAAATGTGGAGATTGATCGACATCAGGATGAGGTAAATTGGCGGGAGGAGAATGCAAACTGCCATCTCTTTGTTTTTCCCATGTTGTCCACCTCGACCAAATGCTTGCCCTAGCACTTGCCAATCCGAGCCGCCGAGGTGTTTCTGGGGATTCGGAGGTGAGAGGAGAAACGATGTCACTTCTGGAAAGACGTATATCGGCTGGCAGCGAAGGTACTGGAGGCGTGGCTGGACTCTTGCTCTTGGGTTTCTCTGTGGTGGTGCCCTTCCTCGAAAGCATGGGCGAGAGCATAAGATTCCACCAACCCTGTGATTTGCGCCGTCTGCTTTCTATATCTGAGGGGAGAATTTGTTCTTGGCTATCGGACGACATCCTCGATATCTCCTCCAGAGATTGATGGGATCCGCCGTCACTGTCATAGTCCTCTGCATCCTTTTGGCTGGCACCTCGGGTGGATTGAGCAATGCTTGCGCCTATCGTTGGCTGAACTTGGTTATCACAGTGTGCGTGTCTCAACGGAATCTTCGGCACCGGCGGCAGTTCACTGTCTCGGATCTGCGTTTCGCTGCGCGTATATGGAGAATACGTGCTCGATATAGGCCGACCCTTGCCGAAGAAAGGCGGTTTCCAAGAATCTGTTTCTTCAGCTGGAGTAACCACGATTGCAGGCGTGTCTGGCGTGATCGCGGAGTAGGGATTGCTTACGCCACCAGCAGAACGGTGTGCGTCCAGTTCGTGTTCGGGAACACTAATTCCTATAACGATTGATCGAGCCTCCGGGGAGTAATCACTTAGGGCATTGGTTGGTTCTCGGAGCTCCTCCTCTTTGACAATCCCATGAGCTTGTCCCCCAGTGTCCATCTTTCCGATCACCCGAAACTCCTCCCCCGCCTTTCGCGCCGCTTGTGACTCTTGTAACTTCGAAACAGCTTGTCGGGCGATGGTCCTCTTCAAGACCTCTCCATTGTGATTTAGCGGTCCTTTCATGTTGTGATTAGGAATAGAGTCGGGTACCAAGTGGCTTACATGCTCAGCTTTAGCCGACAGGACGGATGTGGTGTATCTCGGGCCCAGGCGAGGTCTTTGTGACTGCACCTGTTCAATGACAAGCCCATCAGTTTGCGCTCGTTTGGCCTGCGCTGGGAAATTGGTGACAATATTCAATCCTGGGCGAGTCTTCTTGTCGGTTCGAGGTCCCACTAACTTCTGCTGATGCTTTCGTCGACTGGACTGCTTGCGCTTTGGTTCCGAAACCTGTCCGTTTCTCGTCGTTTCTCGACTATATCTCTCAAGGTGGAATTCATCCTGGCCACTCGAAGATCCAGTGTCATCGTCGGAAGAGCTGGAAGCGAAAGGATTTGGGGAAAAGAAGGTCTCGGTTGGTGCCAATGTCATACCGCCATTAATGGGTTTAAACGTCGTGAGAGGCTCCTGTTGAGGGGACGATAGTGGAAACGCTGGAGCAATGCTGGGCTGATGGTGCACTAATTCAGTTTCCTTCGAAGTTGCACCACGACTGTGTGGGCTTCGAAACCCGACCGCCATCACTGAAAGTGAATGATATTCTGGAGAAGGTGATGGTGTGTGCAGGTAAAAGTAGGGACGAAATTTGGCATCGCTTCTTTTCAGGCGGCTGAGGATTTTAGGGAGGTTGCTTAGGCTTATCGCTGTAGCCTTCTATTCATTGTCCATGTTTTTGAGTCAATATGTTTTGCTCTCGGTGGATCAACCAGTGAGACCGTTTCAAAGTCGACAGTTAGTGCGTCTTGTGAGCGTGGAAGGAACCTGCCTGCGGAATCAGTGTAGATTATTGTACAATGAATATAATAAGAAGGAAATAACAATAAGGAAAGTTGACAGGAATGTGAAGAACGAAAGGAAAGTTCATGGTGGCATCACTATTTGACTTGATCGAAGGCGGGAACTGGGTCTGGCAGAAAAGGATTGGTAGACATCACGATATCTACAGTTGTCAAGGTCCATCCGCGCCCAGCGGGGGCAGTCGTCAGACGAGGCTCCTCTGAGGCTTCTCTGAAGGCTGCCAGGCCCCATTGTTTGTCTGAGGCTCGGGGTTGCAACACGTTTCCTTGGATCTGAGCTTGCGGCGGGCAATGTCCCAAACTTAGATCCTGGGGGAGAACAGTGGATATGTCATGATATCCGACCTGGCGGCTAGCCAGACTTCAGAGTCGATTGCTTCAGGTTGAAAGGCGGTCGATAACTGGAGGAGATGAAGTCGAAGACGAAATTACGCGCGCGGTCAGACAAAGATAGAGGAGCAACGAGAACCAATCGCTGGGCCACAAGGCTGTATTACATAAGACGAAATGTTTCACAAAGCACGTGACAAGGCTGCGGGATCCAAGCGGCTTCTTTCATATTTTGGTACAGAAATCACTCGCGGAGACGTGTAGCTTTATATCTCCAAGACTCGTATACACAGACCATACCGGCCGTAGTCTGAAAAGAAGAACCCAACTTATCTAACAGTTGAGAGCAGCAAGTCTCTAGCTTCTGCTTCGAATGACTGTCGCAACCTTATATGCGACGCAATGGGGCTCGACAGTTCTCAAGCCCCAGTGATTTTGCTCCATGCCCTGAAAAAAACATATCCCGTTGACCATGGTATCATGAATCAAATGATCGACCCCACCCCTCGGAGCCCAGAAGTCGTGCCTCTTCCGTGAATGCACGATGCTTTTGGCTAAAAGCTCCACAATTCCAGTGTAATGCACAAAAGAATCAAAATGTCAAAGTAGTGTAACCCAAAAGAAAATAGTCCGATGGGGAGTGCCCGAACCATGAGAGACAGCACTATCGCCGGTCATCATATTGTATGCCTTGCATCGAGGTGCTGCCCATTATCGGCGGAAGTGTCCGTGCTGGTTCGTTGGACCCATCAATATGGTTGTTAAAGTGAGGTCCGTATCCAAGAGGACTCTGTGGCATCACAGTCGGTGGAGGGGGAAAGGAGCCTTGAGGTTGCTGTATTCCCTGCATCTGTCGATTCATTTCGTGCATCTTGGCTTCAAGTTCCGCCATCTTCATGCGCTGGTTCTCAAACTCTGCTCGTGCTTGCTTGTTCTGATTTTCAAGTTGTGTAATGTAGTCAATGGCTAAGGAAGATTAGCGGCATTCTGGGCTCACGGCGCGGGACAATCTCACCTCGTGACAGCGTTTCCCATTTACTTGACTTATTGTTTTGACTGGCTGGCAATCGGCTTCTCAGCTGTTCAAAGCAATCCTTCATCTCGCTTCGTCTCTTCCGCTCGGCTAGCTTGTGAGTTACTCGAAGTTCTGGTGTTCGGCTGTAGGGCGTGGTTCCGTTCGGAGAGTCGGGATCGCCTCGAAGGCTGTCTAATTGTTTGTGTTGCAAACTGTGATGATGAGTATCGGGAAGTTCTGGCACTGGTTAGATGCATCACAATTCTCTCGCTATATGAAAGCTTACCTTGCTGCCCTAATGGTAATCTGTTCGACTCCATTGTCAAAATACTGCTGGAGAATGACTCTGCGAAGCTGTTCCTCCGCGAGTACGTCGATGGTGTTCTGCCCGGCGGACGAGGCGCGTCTGGGTCAGGAAAGGCATAAGCCTGGCCTCGAGTCGGGGCTTCTGCACTGTAGACCTCCTGTTTCGGGTTCTCGAGAATTGGGGGCGCTACTCGTCCTGCGGCAAAACCACTTCTTCCACCGCGACTCGAACTAAACGAGGAGATTGGACCGCTCATTGTTGAATATCTGCCCCCTCCTCCAGCATACCCATTTGTCTGGATGCCTCGCTCTCTTTGGAGGCCAGAGACGAGGGATGTCTGAGAGGCATTGGTGCTTGTATAAGGAGATGTAGGGCCGAGGCCGAGGTTATTCATGCCTGTATGTATGCTGTTGGAAGCCACACTGCTCCTCCGCGAGTCGTCAAAGTCACCACTGCCTCTGTTTGGATTGGAGTTCGGGTCTGACGTTGGCGGTGGAAGTCCGTTCGGTTGCGGGTGCAGGCCACCGTTGAACGGAGCTGGAGGTGCGGAAGGGTTGTCTGGAGTGTAAGGAGATGTGCCTGTGCCGGTCGGAGAGTGGGCAGAGTTCAGGTATGGCATCGAATTTGTCGAAGACCCCGACACTATGAGCGTAAGGTTAGCAACACATCTAGTCATTTCCGCAGGGACCGAGCACTGACGGGTACCGGGAGTCATCCAACTTCCCGAATCTCTCTGGGGTGGATGAATTGAGAGGTCTGACGGGGCTCTGTCCAGCGGCTGGACTGGGAGCTTCGAAGTCAAAGAAGCTATTGATGGCAGTGTCTGTGGGAGACTGTGAGGGGGATTCGACTCCCAAGGACGGTGGCTCGTGGTCTCCATCATGTCAAAGCCGTTGATGTGTATGTGTCGAATATGATCAGCTCAGATGGCGAGCAGAAACTGCCTCCTTGCGCATATGGCGCTTGAACACGGTCGTGAAGATCCCTGACTCGTCGCTCGAATCGCTCGTGATTCCCAAAATTTATTGGTCCGTAGGATCCAACAAATGGAACGTCGGGCGCACTCTGATGAAAAGGTGATCGGGAGAAGCTGACACTGGAGCACCAAGTGGCACAACACTTTCCAAGAACGATGCGACGACCCAGCGCAGAATGGGGCCTTGTATCGAGTGACCGGGAGTGGGATCAATGCGCTGCGCGATGTCGAAGGAAGAAAAAAGTCGATCGCTTGATAACCAGGGTGCAGTAGATGAGATCTTAATCCTCTGGTTGTCGCAATATCCTGTGCTCCAACACCAGACTCTTTTACGAGAAGGTCCGTCCCAGATCGGAGAGCGCCCGAACTGGTTGTCCTTCCAAACACTCTGCAGGGTGGGAGGTCTTATTCAGAAAAACGTGGAGCGGAAGATGTTGTGGAGCCAGATCGAGGGCATGCAGCTTGCCAGAAGAAAGGCCGCGAAAATACGGTCGTTCAATCTGGTGAGGTCGTGAGATCAGGTGTCGCACAGAGGAGCGGTCGGCGGGAGATGGCAGAGGAGGGATTTGATCTAGTTGCGGTCGACTGCAGAGATGGTTGGAAAGATTGTCGGTTTGAGTTGGCGAGATCTGTCCAAGATAGCAATCTTGAGGGGCAGATCAGAAGTGGCGCCAGGAGAAGTAAGGATTCAAGGAGAGGGTTGAGGTTTGGTCGACCCCAGAGGTTTGGAGGGAGGGATTGTTCCCTTTCCTGCACAGGGTCCGAAGTAAGAAAGGTCGCAGGTGGGCACTATGGCCAGCGACAAGGGGGTGAGAATGATAGGACGGGATAATTCTGGAGGAGTCCTGGTCAAAGCATGTGCTATGTATACTTTGACTATGGCAAAATGGAAAAAAGGTTGAGCCCAAGGCCAAAGCCGAAAACAAGTTTCAGAGGCAAAAAGAGGTACGTTGCAGAAGAGTTAGAGAGAGAGTCGAACGTGGACGTGGAGATGGATATGGAGATGGAGATGGAGACTACAGATGCAGACGCAGACACAGACGGGCAGGGCCCAATCCAATGCCACGGGAGTGGGCCAATCCACTCATCCATTTTGGAAGACGGATACTGGATCAAACCATCAACCCATCAAATCAGGTACGTGGTGCTTTAATCCGAGTCGACATGGTAGAGACGTTCTTGGAACTAGATCGGGGCTACCAAAGTATCCATTGGGAATTGGGGGAGAGAGCTTTGGTTGGGTATGGGTGGTTGCTCTTGGGGGGGCTTTGCTACAAAGAAGCGTGGGTGCTTGGGTACTTGGGTGGCGCCCCGGCTTTCTCCTCGTCTCTCTTCTCTTTTGCAGAGCCGGACTAGATTGCTTTGGGTATTTGCTGTAGTCGTGACATTTGAAATTTAAGGCCATGCCTACTACCAGGCTGCGTAGCTACCCAGCCAAGTAGCTAACTACCACTGGCTTTTCCTACATGATGCTATCAGTGATCGACTACCACTACTCCAAGGAGACGAACTTTGGGAGGTGATGCCATCTGTTTCAAAGAGAAAACAAGACGGTTGTTGCATGGTGTCGCATGAAAGCCAGTTACTGGCACTACAGGAGATCTGGTGTCTGACATGAGAAACGTGGAAGGACAAGGACAATGGGAAGGGGGGCCGTGAGGGTGCTGGGTCCCCTGAAGCCCGAAAGCCTGAAGCCTAAAGCCTGAAGGGGGTGGTTCCTTGGGTATGATCACCCGGGCCAAGGCCCGTGGCCCACTCCACCATTATGACCACCACCGCCCGCCGCGTCAACTCTACTTACTTGGTAGGTAGGGACGAGTTGGATATGAGGATGGATAGGCATTACCTACAGTGCTACTTGGGCACTATAAGTACGAGACCCGAGGTGAATGCAGGCACCTCATACTCTTAGACGCTCAATTTCATCCCTATTGTCATCCGATGTTTGCAGACCTCCAGGTACTTCCCCCAAAGGAGACCTATCACTTGCAGCAATGACCAGCGATCGCAAGACCCTCCTTCTTCGGTCTACCACTTCCAGTATCCGAAGTGGATGAGCGACCTTGATCCAACCCACGTGCCATTCCTTGCTTCTTG